AAACATGTTGATATACAGCTGTATAACAGAAAAAAATGGCCGGCGAATTTACTAAACGTGGGGGTGGTGTCCACAAAAACAATTCGCCCCGAGGCGGTTCTGTAGCTCGTGGAGGAAATCGCGGTAGACTTTCGACACGAGGAAACAGGCATGGTGGAATGTCACCAAAAGGAAGTGGCAGTCGTAATGATTTGTCGAACCGCATTCGCGGTTCTGGAAAAGGTAGAGTTTCTATACTGTTTTTTACTTATTCTGTTTTCTGAAGTGAAAATTTAAGGCTTCTGTTTTCCTTCTTTTTCTTCAATTTTATAATAGCGATGGACTCAAACTATTGGTATTACCATTTTTGCAGTGCAAATTTTCTTGTAGGTGGTGTTCGTGGTGGGAAAGGAAACTGGGGTGATCGTGGTGGACGAGGTAGTTGGGGTGATTCCGGGAGAGGTGGACGTGGTAGAAATGGTCAAGGACGGAGAGGATTTTCTGCGAAAAGCAGAGGTGGTATAGATTTCAAAAAGCGAATGAGCTTTGATATCGACAGCAGATTTGGTAAATATAAGTTTGAAATTTTGCTTTTTGTGTTTGAAAATGAAATGACTATAGTGAATTGTTTTATCTAAAATGATGCTATTAACTGTGAAATCTTGTTGGGATAGAAATTGAAAGAGTCATTTAATAGATGTAAGAAGGTAACGGAAGATAATAGATGTAAGAAGATAATAGATTTAATAGATGTAAGAAGGTAGGTAATGGGTTTCATTATATTTTTGAGCTTTTAAGTTCAACTGAAACAATGATTTAAGAACGAAAATCGGTGGACGGAAAGAAGAACGAAAACAAGTACCAAAAATCAATATCGGAACCGTCAACTCCAGCAGATGTGAAATTTAAGAAGTATGAAATGGATAGTGAACATGACGAAAATGAGGTTGTACACTTTTTGCCTAGTGTATAATCTTGAATTTTTATTTGCCAGCATTTCGGATCGGTTCATTGGTACAGATTTTGGTTGGTAACAATCGTTTTTTCTTTCAGGAAATGAGCATCTCAGATATGGAAGATGAAGAAACAAGTAAGCTTTACTTTTGAAGTCGTTAGTTATGGAGTTAAAATTTAATTTATGTTTCAGCCGCAGGAATATCCTTTTTTTTTCAAAAACCATTTTTTAAGAAATCCAAAATTGTCCTTTTTTTAAAGAAATTTTCTTTCAGCTACAGGAACACCCAAAAAAATTGCTGCAGATGTAACATCGAAACAGAGGAAAACAATCGCGTCAAAAAATGGCTCAAATTTCGCGCAAATAATAAGTGCTAAAGCTCCACCAAAAAAGAAGGTAGTTTTTAGAAGTTCCTAAAGACAAAACATCTTGTATCTCTTTTTGTCTTAGATTGCGCAGAATTTATAAAATATAATTGCTCCAATATAGGTTAAGTTTCTCCGCCAAATGTCTTGTCTGCGATTACCTCATGCACATAGATTTTTTTTCAGGATGCGCTTAAACGAGAAAAAGATAAGGAAGATAAAGGTAAAGTATCTTTTAACTATAACTAAATCTCACCGACTTTTTAGGGAAGCGTGCCTAACAAATGATCACTTGCAAATTTAAAATTCTTAAGTAAATAGGCAGCTGTTGGACTTTAAAACAGAGCTAGTCGATTATGTAGAATTATGGTTCCAATTTCATCCGATAATGTAATAGATCGGCTTACAAATCTTCAAAGTTTCCTTTTATGGAACTAAATATCCAACCAGCTCATGATTATTAGAAGATCGCGTCCACGTATATCTGTTTCAAATTGACGGAATATAATTAATGCTTGACAGTTCTAGAACTCGTAACAGATCAGAAGATTAAGAAGGCCAGAATGGTCAATGTTGAAAGTGAGGAGGACGATGAAGTATGAGTTTTTTTTTCATTTGTTTTTTTATAATGTATTTGTACCATAAGGTGGTCCTGATGTTCTTTCTGGAAATTATTTGCTAGGCTTATTTCTATAATTTTCACAGGAAGAAATTGACGATGATGAAGATGAGGATGAAGATGAGAGCAGTGAGGAAGGTATTTTCTGAAATCTCCAGTTTTCGTTTGCTTTTTCTTTTCGATTTTCACACATTCAACATCACTGTTTATGACGGGTTGTTTCCGAAACGCAGTTAACGGAGAAACAAAAGGATCTTTATTGAGCTCTCTTTATCGATGATGATGCATAAGCTTCACTTTTATTCGAAAACACATGTGATTAGCAAGAACTGAGTCGATATCCACTTCTAGAGATAATGATAATATTTGTATCGGCAATTAATAATTATATGGCTGCTGTCTGTTAAAGTTTTTCAGTCGAAAAGTACGAAGCTTAGATAGAAATACAGTGAGAACAGAATTTTAGCGAAACAGTGATTAAATATCAGACTATTTTAAAGTGTATTTTTAGGTGCTGAAGGAAAATCTGCTAAGAATGTAAATGGTATTGCTGAAATGAGTGAATCAAACGAAGATGAAGACGAAGAAAGTTTGGAATACGAAGATGAAGAGGAAGCACCTTCTGAAGGTATCTTGTTACCACTGCGCTTATTCATTGTTTATGCAAGGTATTATACTATCAGTGTATTATATTATATAGAACGAATTGAATTAGGTCATTTCTTTTTCAGTAAAACCAGCACATGCATCTACTCCTGGCAATACGGTGCATTTGAAGAGTGCACTTAAAACTCCTGGTACTGGAAAATCAAGTAAGAAGGTTTCACTTTCAGCCACAACTACGACTACTCCAGAAATGTTGTTAAAGGTTTGTCTTTGAATTTTCTTTTTACAATTATCAGTAATGTTTGTTTACTATACAATGCAATCATTTGTTGGAAGTAAAACGAATTTTTTAACGATAAAATTTTAGAATAAAACCCCAGTTACACCTCATCCTCAAATAATGTCGAACAAAAATAAGATGAGGCGACTGAGATTCGAAGAATCTGATGAAAGCGATGAGGATGAAGAAAATAATGATGAGGAGGATGACGAGAGATTGAAGGTGAACGATGGGAAAATGAAAATGGCAGGGAACGATTCAGAGGATGAGGATGAAGACGACGACGAAGAAATAACGGATGACGATGAAAAGGAAAGCGATGAAGACAAAAGACCAGATAATACGAAGAGGATGATAATAGATAGCAAAGATCTTGCAAAAGTAAGGCAAAATTGTTATTTATGATTTGGGAATTATCAAGAACAGAATAGTAGGAAACGAATATCTTCCTTTCAATTGGACTTCTAATTCAGAAAGTCTGAAGATTAGACTTTATTTCGAGAAAATGGTGAGGTCAGCCATCTACTGTAAACAGCTCTCATAAACTTGTTTAGTGTGTCAGCAAGAAAATTTGAAATTTCAGGCAAAACGGGAAGGGATTGCCGAAACAATTCGAAGCAAAAAAGATAGGGTCAATTTGAAAGAGCTTCATAATAAAAGCGACAAAGGGACTGAGGAGAAGGTTGTTTCTGATGCTTTTCATGTTATGGTTGATATCATTTTCCACTGATTTTCAGCTGAATTTCTCATCCTAAACCTTCAGATAAACTAGAAAGAAAGATTCTCTTCGGCTGTAGTTCCAAGCTGTTTTTACGATATTTGGATTCTTTTTCTGTCCTGGAAAATTTAGTAATGGCAAACTGCTATTCTTTTCAATACATTTCATGAATTTTAATTTTTTTTAATGATAAAACCGTAGGAACATGAAATGCCATTGATTTGCAGGAATATCTAACAGTTCCAAAATGTTTTGACTAATATACTGAACATATAAATTAATTAGATTGGATAAGAACTTATGTCTTTAACCAAATATACTTGCGTTTATTCAGTTAGCTTCGCAGAAACAAACAAATGCAATCTCCAATAAGGAAGAGACAAAAGGAGTAAAAAGAAAGTGGGAAGGTGGACCAGTGTTAAAGGTGTGGACTTTCTTAGTATATTCTTTTATGTGAAGTAAGAGTAATTTTAGTTTTTTTGAGTTAGAATCGGTATAAATGAATCTGTTAAGCTGGAAGATGCAAAAGACGTGGTCAGGGAAGAACAAAAGCGGCGAGAAGAGCGCGACAAGAAATCATTATTTGTACGAGGATTACCAAAAGATGTAAAATTGGGGCAGTTGAAGGCTCTTCATAATGACATACTGTATGTACGTCATATGCCGCATCGCAAGTAAGAAGCATTAATTCCAAATAAGTCGTTCGAAGATTCCTCTATATTTTTTTAAATTAGTGTGTTTTGAGAAAATTCGCATTTATTTGACTATTGCATAAGTCTGTTAATTGTCAGGAATATATTCCTTAAAAAAATTCAGCTTTGCATGGTTAATATTCGCAAGCGAAAAGCTTTGTGAGAAGGCTTACGAAGACATATCAAAACAAACAGTCGAAGGTCGAACACTAGCTGTCGATTTTTGTGGAGCAAAGGCAAAAACGCGCCCTCAAAAGGACAGGAGTCAATTACCCATTAACCCTCTGGAGCTATTTGTTGGCGGCTTACCACCGTCAACATCGAAAGATCAGATGAAAGTCATCTTTCGACAAGCAACCAATATCAGTTTCCCGAAGCAAGCCAGAAATAAGAATAAACTGTAAGCAAATCAGCTCTGGAATTCATTTATATTTAAAACTTGAAGAATATTTTTCTTTTTTAAGTAATTTGAGACCGTTGTGTTTTCACCTATAACCTAAATTTTTTTGAAAAAGTATATGCTACATGTAAGATTTTTCAATTTTATTCAGTTGATTTGATGGTTGAACACCAAGAGAAATGTTTATAACAAGTATGTAAAATTTCCAGGTACTGCTTCGTGCAGTTTGCTAATGAAAAGGAAGCCAGAGCAGCGTTCGAAAAAGGAAAGACACTAAAGATTAATAGTATGCCTGTTGATGTCCTTTATGCTCGGATACGCAAAGGTAATGGTTGTCATTTGTTGCTCGGAATTTTCCGTATAAGATGCTTATTCTCCACTCTTGCAAACCCATAGAAGTATTGAGGTCGATAGCTGAATAACTAACTCTCTCATCATTGTGTCGTAGGAATATCAGATGAGGCAAAGCTACCGAAAGCGAACCAGGATCCCAGTTTGTCGAATGGCATTGCAGCAAAATCGGAAACAAAAAGTTTGCCAAAAGCAAATGAAGTAAATGGCGACACGGCTAGCGAAGGAATTGAATCCTCGGAAGAAGGCATTCAGGAAGTGGTTTGTTTAATTTACTTTTAAAACATGTTCTTACTCATAATGCTCATTTCAATGTTTTTTAAAATGTAATTTTGAATGCCCTGAGACATTTTTGTCGGATTTAAGCAAAATAGAGCGACATGGTGTTTATCTTGTAAATAACAATATCTTTTGCTCAGTCTTGCAATCTGAATTTCAGGACGATTCAATTTCGAAGCCCAAGAAAGCAAAATTGGCTAAAGCAGAGAACCATAAAATGCTGCATAAACTTGAATCATTTAAGCAAAAAAAAACTGAAGCGAAGGTGGGCGTTTATCTCTTCACATTTTTATGATAATGAAATATAGTCTGATATCTGATGCAAAGCCGTTTGTGAATATGCATGAAGGACTTTCAAATGGATTTTTTCTGATATCGTTAACCTTTTGTTTATTTTCTTGTTGGGGAGCTGAAGTTCGGGAAGAGCATAATAAGCTAAAATATTCGCCATTTTTGACTCTATTTGAAATATATTTTTTTAGTGCACAACATTATCTAAAAAACCGAAGTTGAAGGCTACCGGTGGAAAAATATTGTCTGGACAAAGCAATTTAGAGAGCGACAATTTGGATGCTGGTAAAGATGAGAAGGATAATAATATTAATGATCATGACGATGATGAAGACGATGATGATAATGATAATGATGATGATGATGATGATGATGATGATGATGAGGAGGAGGAGGAGGAGGATGAGGATGAGGATGAGGAAGGGGATGAGGATGAAGATGAAGAGGATGGGAATATGGAAGATAGTGACGGAAGCAATTAAGTGACAGCATTTATAACCAAGGGTGGATTGGGCTAGAAAGTACTACGCTTAAATGTATTGGTTTGTCAGAATTTCGATTATTGAGAAAAGGATGTGGAATCCACTGAGTGACTGCACTGATAAGATCTGTTTTTAAAACTGGATTAAGTAATAATCACTTTCCGCTTCCTTAATTTCGGGTGTTTTTATTTAGCTAGATTTGGTATATGTGGAAGAAAGAGGGAAGTTTTGGTCTGGTTTGATAATATCCTTTGTTTTCTGTATTGCTGTATCTTGTATCGTCCTTAAATCCATTGTTGAATCAAGGTCGTGTTTGTTATCCATATTAGTGATATTTTGTCACATTTTTATCACTACATTTCGAAAATAGATCTGATGCTCTGTTGATGTTGAGTTCTGTTTCTCTTGTATTGACAAAATAAGGGATCTTTAATTTGTTGGTGCGGACTGTTGGATGTAATTCATTGGACCTAGATGTCTCGAGACTTTTATTAGTGTTGAAGGTTTCATGTACCATTTCCACGGTTGCAAGGTTTTCAGTATGAAAAGGAAGAAGTTGATGCGGATTTCATAATTCAGATTTTGAGTCGTTTATGAGAGTCCATTTTTATTTGTAATCGCAAAAGTGAACTTGGAATCAGATGTGTTTGGTTACGGGAGCAACGGTGTTTTAGTAAGGATGGAACCAGCTCCTGGAAGTTGTCGAAGTTGTGATGCTTGTGTCGCGCATACGCAAGTAATGGGCCAAGTAGCGTTAGGTGTAACATGACGGCCTGAGACAGGACGTTGCGGCGGGAATCTGGTCAATCTTTCAGGAAGGACGGGGTGCATAGTGATACATTTAGCGTGGTTCCCAAATGACTATGGTGGTAAAATAAAATATGGAGGCCTGAGGAATTCTGGTTAGTTCGGAGAAGTTCCAGTCTTAGGTGAGGAGAGATTTGTAGGGTTCGGATACCGTTGCAGATAGGGCAACACGATTCGGTGAGTAGCTGGAACCCCGGGGTCCATATGATTCGGTGACATGGGAGGTTAGGAGGTAGTTGCTTCATATTCTTACTTTCATGTACCAGAATGCCAGTTCCGGAAAATGTTGCGATGTCTTCTTTCGTGTTGTCCATGTATTAAATTCTACAAATTCCTGGGATGCGTATTTTAGGAGAATAATGGGAACGAATTGCATTTTGCAGCCTAGTTTCTGCCGCTTGCATATTTTAATTGAGGCCTTTTTTAAATATATTTCCTCAGCAGTTCATTAATTATGCCTATATTTAACTTATTTATACATTCAGATATTGTGCAGCACTGTTGATTTCTCCGGTTTCTACATAAGTCCATTTGGATTAATTCAGAGAGTTTCTTTCACAAATCCCTATGCACTGGTTCGATTTTTATTCTAGTACATGGTACCACTGTTGACAGTTCAGAAAGTAAAAAGTGAGCATTTTTAGTATCAAGGGTAAGACGAATTAACTTTGTTAATTCTATTAAACAGGATTTCTCCGGTGACTTCAGAACTGGTATTTTGGGTTAAGCAACAATAGTACGAAAATATATATATCGGGTGAAGAATAACGTGCTGAATTCCATATGCTGGGTGTTACGACAGGTTTGTCTGAAAAATATCAAGCATTAATGTACAAGTAGGACGTGGATATGTTAGTAAAATGAGCTTTTGAATTCAAAATTTATCACTTTACTTTGTCTTTTGGTTTTCATTGCTGTCATAGAACCCGCTCAGCAGCGTTTTGAGATCATTCACGTGGCTTATTTAAAAAATTCAGTGAAATGACAATTTAGTACCATCGTTAACGTTTCTAATTAATTCATGTGACTTGAGAAAAACATGGGCTCAGTATTATTTATTGTTATACTTGGTCCATGAAGACAGATAGGATAGTAAATTTTTTGGATAAGGACTGTCCGAAAAGAATAGTCCCGATTGATCGGATGGTTGACCATGTAATTGGCTTCATTAGGTCGTTGCTCACTCCTCATTTCGATGCGTTATTGATGAACATGTGGCGAAAATCGGCAGGTGTCCTTGATACGACAAGGTTCAGCGGTCTCATCAATGAAATCACCATTCACATCGCCGATAAGAGTCCTGCTGACTGCAATGGCAGACGTAAGGGGTGTTTGACATGCATCGACATGCCATGGTGTTTACCATTTTATCGTTTATTGGAGAGTTGTTACCGACCTATCAATTTAATGCTTCTGAGTTCTGAGTTATGCGTCTTGCTGGTGACCAGTTTGATTTTATCCAAATGTCAATCATTATTATGTGTATGAGAAGTTTATCCCACAGGAACAGAATTTTTGTTTATATTTCCATCATTAGGAACCGTCATTGATTTGCATCATTCACGTGCCGGTCAGTAATTTTGGTGAAACATTTCAATAATTAAAATAAATCTGCTTTTTGATGTTACCAATGTTTCAGTTGTTACCAATGCAGGCTAGAGATTGTAAGTGCCACCGCTTGGCAATTAGCCTCAATGAAACACTGAGCAGTTTAAATTTTGAAGCAGATTTTCGAAAGGCTGTTCAGTCGCTAACTGCTGTAAGTAACCGCTCTGATTATTTATCCATTTCATCGTTTTTAGCAGTCTTTTCTAATAGCAGCTTGTTAGGATTGAACGCATTTGATATAGAGGTCAAACTTTGTAGTGTAAAACAGGATAATTCATTATAGGTATGTAAGTACCAATATGATTCGTCTTTCAGATCAGTTAATACAACTCAAATAAAAATCCTTACAGTAATGAATGATAGGAATTCCAGTTTATTTGAAGAATCAAATCTTATGAAGTTATAGGAAGAATGTGCCAAAGCTGCGAGATTTCGTTATAAAGACGATACGCTTGCCTCAATATTAGGACGTCTTTTTCTTCGCCAGGTTGTTTCATATCTGTATTTATAGCCATCTTATTTCAGACTTAGTAGTTTTGAATCCATCCTCAACTTTATTTCCCTCCCACAACTATATATAGAGAAACATATATAAGAATATGTCGAGAAACACCTTCCAACTAAGTTTCTAAATATTATATAGGCCACGAGGCGATTGTCAAATGTAGAATGGAACACGATTGAATTTGGACGAACAGAAAAAGGAAAGCCGTATGTGATGAGTCCAACTAATGCGAAATACGGCTTCAATGTGTCACATCAGGGAGATTATGTAGCATTCGCGAGTAGTTGTTCGTTGAGGGTAGGTAATATGCTTATAGCTTCCTTGTTTTGTGGGGAAAAGTCTATTTGTTGCTGAGTGTATCTAAATTACTTACATATTTTCATTTACTTCATTCATGGAAACTTCTTGTTTATTCACTGTATGTCTTTGGTAACATACTGTTTTCTATTTTCTAACATGAATTCAAAATTTTTGCCGTAATCCATTTCACAATAATGGAGAAAGACAACTTTCAGGTTGGTGTAGATTGCATGCGGTTAGATAAAGAAAGAAATAATAGATCGGCTGATGATTATATCACATCGATGGCAAAATCAGCTGGTCCCGAAGAGTTGAAGATGATGAGAACCCAAGCAACTGATCAAATGAAAATGATTTATTTCTATCGGTACTGGTGCTTAAAAGAAGCAGTTCTTAAAGTAAGCGCATGTCAAGTTCAATGCATTAAGTGATACAAATGAGTCCAAATTCATTTAGAATTTCCCAGTAGTCCCTAAGATCATCTGAACCTTTACGGGACTTCAAATATGGAAGAACTTCCTACAGAATTCACGCAATCACCCAAAGTCTTTAAATTTCCTATGATTTCTTATCACAGCCGCTAATCTGCAGAAAATAGGGTTCTCCATAATTCTCACATCTTATGAATTTTTCTGCTGTTGCACTACATTTCAATTCATTCGGAAGTGTTTTGCGCGTATTTTCGAATTCTGGCAAATTATAGGACTTTTTTAAGGCAACCGGAGAGGGTCTTCTGTCAGATTTAAGCCGACTGAATTTTCACATTGAAGCAGGGGAACGGTATCGACCAAGATGTTTCATCACATCAACTACTGTATCATTGGATGGCAAACTGCAAGATGAGTGGATCTTAGAAGAAACATTTATCGATGAAATGCACAATGCTGCAGTAAGTTTTTTATATGACTCACAATACAAATAAAACACAAATTATAAAAAAAGTCAAATCTGAACTCTTTGTCTTGTTCTCTTTTTCAAATTGGTAAAGTCATCATAATCTTTGCACATTTATTTTTCCACCTGTATTGCTTAAAGACATTTAAATGCAGTCTAGTTAGTTGCAGGTCTGTCGTGAGAAGCAGTTGCCAAATCACTGCCTGTATATGATAAATCCCGATACACGAATATATTTTGGTTTTGTCGATATCAGTTTCTTACTCGAAGGTGCTTCTATACTGAATCCTCTACCGGAGGACGGTGCTGCTGAGTTGGTGAATTTCAACTCCAAACCGAGAAAGCATTTTTAAATAGTGGAAAGGAATTTATTCGCTAATACAGTTTTATCCTGAAATTTATAAGCAACAATTTTACTCTAAAAGTCTTTTTTAACTGGCACTCTACACTCATATAAATATACAAATTCAGCAATGGACTTTTTAAGCTTTATAAAGATGTGACCTAATTATGGTCCTGCCAATTTAGTTTCTTAACACGTCCATTTAAATTCAACGTTTTTCCACTTTACACAGTCAGTGCTTGGATAGACGTTTATAAAGTGATATAACGAGAGTATTGGTTTTTCCCTGCTGTAATCTATAGTAGTAGCTACTTCAGCATCGCTCACCTATTGGAGAATTGTCTACTCTTTATCTATCAAACAAGCGATCCTATTATTATCAGATATGTTACAGAGATAGCTGAGTTGGAGTAGCGTGCGTGCACGTCTCTTGAAAGAATTAGATATGAAATGTAGGTGAGCAAACCTGCAGCGCCAGACTGACACCAACTCTAGGAGTCTCCTCATAAAACTACGCAAACATAGTATTAAAAATCTATGCTCTGGAAGGAAGTAAACCATACAAATTTATGTAGCAGAAAATTGAAAAATTTAAAATAAGTTAAAATCACTGCAACCGTGGTTCATCCTTATATTAATGATAACCCGAATGAATCCTCAGTTCAATAAAACCAAAAGGGTGTTGAAAAAGACTGCAATGCAAAAATGTACTAGATTATTCAAAACACGTGGTAGCCTACTACAATTCCACCTTGTTGTTTACACTTCTGACGTCAGAATGATTGCCTTTTCTCCTTCCAAAACTCTCTTCCGGCGTTTTACTCCTTTTTGTCGGTTGATGCTTCCTTTCTGTGAATATAATAAGCCAAAAACCTCAATAGATATTTCGGGTTACGCGGACAAGACAGAATCCAAGAAGAGACACAATGAAGATGTGCAGGTCAAACGTAATACACAAATACATCCACCACCAAGTGTTTGTTTGAAAGCATTTATTTCTACACGGAAAGATATTTCATGAGCGCTATTTCATAAAAGATTTTAAAATTCAAAAAAAAACATTTCCTCTAAAGTATAGTATTTATGCAGTCTGAAGTATGTAAAAAAGCTTGAATCGGATAACAAACGCAACTAATGACAGTGAAATCTTTGCAAGGATGGATGAGAAGAAATATGACCCAGAATTCGTGCAAAGTTCATAACAATAATAATAGAAAATATATTAATCGACTCATACGTCACTGGTTTAATGCGGAATTACTTTTCTAAGACTCCTGTTCTGAACAATTAAGGACTTATCCAGAAAAATGACATGATGCTAAAGAGTAATCGCGATCGGAAAGTGTTTACGCAGAGATACTTGCGTCATATTATGATATTAACGAGAGGAACAACCGAGCCAGAGTCTAGACGACTATGCGACTGAGCCGTTCTTCTCGGCTTTTTGTTTCAAATATGTTTCATATTGTGGACTTTCCTTGAAAATTCGTATTTTTCGAGCTATTCCTTTTGCTGAATCACGGAAAACATTGCCATGATCTTTTGCCATTGTCTGGAAACAATTATTACAACACCGCGGGTACTCAGTTAAGGTCAAACAAGCTACCCGACAAAGAGATGATTAATTCCGACAAAAGATAAATAAAAACGAGAAATACTGCAGAACAAGACGCCATAGAAATGATTTTTTAAACTAGAGTTGGAAAATAATTGAGAGAAAAACCACCTCATAGTCTTCTCCATGTTTCTCAATCATGTGTACACAAAACTGGATGTCACGAGGTAGAAGCTTGCACATGCGTTCATGAGTTGGCATGATATGAGAAACTTTATCTGTTTGTGATACCAGAACGACTGGTTCCTTCTTTTCAGCACCCACGTCATATTTTGCTTCCTTTGCAGAAGTTGTAGTAATATTCTACAATTTTAATGAAGTAAACTGGGGGAAGACTCAAACAATATATATCCATTATGGATTTGCCAAATAAGATCAATTCCAGAAATCTCGTAATATTAGAGAAGTTTGCTGGATAATTCGTACCTTACCAAATGCAGTACGAACAATTCTTCGAAAAAACTAATATATAATACATAGAAATGTTTGTTAAGGTTACAAAAATACAGAGATCGAACAACGCGATCCAAAGTTCATTATGATAATTGGCTAAGTATTCCAGATGTAGAATAGACAGCGACGAACCCCGGTAACATTACCACCAAAATTGAGATTTGTGGCACCCAATGGTTCTGGATGTTCTTCTGCCAGCCTCTCCACGTTTATTTCTAACCCCTTCGGAATTGATGCCTCCGTAATTATTTCCGTCTTCGACAATATTTCTGAAGCATTTCGCAAATACAAGTTCAAAAATGGTACGAATAATACAAAACCATAGATCCAAACAATTTTGATGTTTGAATTCTTTAATCATTCGCAAGATTTGCTAAGGATTTCACTACTTCCATATCGAGTCAGTGCATTCAAATTATTCATGTCGCCGTGTCTTCCTATTGAACAACCTTTTTCATTCACCATTTAATGATATCTGGTGAGTGTCTACCACATTACTGTATTCGTTAAGTCAACAAATGCTATGCAATGATTGGAAGATTCCATATCCTAAGAAATGAAAATGGCGGCTATAATTGAAAGTGTACCTATTAACTCAAAATTAAAAGGCTGCATTAGCAAAACACTTAATTCATACACAGATAATTAAATTAACTTTCTAACAACAGTAAAATATACCTGAATCTTTTGGAATGTTATCACTGCCGAATGTCATATGATCCGTTATCTTTTCAGTCTTAAATCCTGTGCTCTCCAGGGTAGAACTTTGATCCTTTACGAGATATGCCATAGCCTAAACACAAAAAGTTAACTTCCTTTAGCTACACTTTACACTTAAAAGCAGCAATATATCAAATGAAAACCTAGTAGAGTATGAGTTAGGAAATATACTTAATCTTCAATAGAACACTGATATTTTCTATTTAGCTTGTGAACTGACTAGCAATAATAGCTTTTTACAAACCTCATTTAATCCTTTATTCTCTTTCTTTCCTGAAATATCCTCTTCTTGTTTCTCAATCTGTTCTAAAATATCTTCCTCTTGTTTCTTAGTCTGAAACAAAGAAAATTTCAAGCCCTTTTGAAGTCATTTTATAGAATACTAAGATGAAGTTCTAAATGCCTCAAAATTTTCAAGTTCTATATTTAAGCATACAAATCCACAACGTACGCGAATGGATGATACTAGTCGTATATTTTTTTTTTGCGTCTTCAGCTGCTATCGCTATTAGGCTAGGTAATAACGATGCATCTTCAGCTGCTATCGCTATTAGGCTTGGTAATAAGATGCATCTTTAGCTACTATCGTTATTCTCTAGCCTAATAAGGATTGCAGCTAAAGATGCACTTCTGAACCAAATCGAAAGTATTTAGAAATCCAAATGAATGAAAATATAATTGATATGATACAATTGTTTCATAGATGTGGGACAATTATCCCCATCAAGATTAAGGAGAACATCATAGCCGCATGTAGCACTATTATAAAGTTTGAGAGAGAGAGAAAGAGAAAAAAAGAAAACTGAAATTTCCTTTACTTTCTAAGTAGTATATGATTTCGTTAGCCACTACTGTTAGGAAATATTTAAAACAGTTACGAATATTCGAAAATGTGACTGTTAATCAAGCTATTCACATTATTTTTTGCTTCCGCAAAAGCTAATAGTCAAGCATAGAGAAGCAGTAGGAATTTTGTGAAAATCTTCAATTTAAATTAGTAAAAGTGCTCATTACTATGTGATACCAAAAGAACAACAAGATGCATTCAAATTTATGGATCTCAAAATAGCTGTTATGCCAATTAGTCAAATTAAGGACTAACCAAAAAAGAAACCAGTCAACATCCATACTGTTTTAATAATAAACTTAACAGAAATACAATCCCAATATAAACTCCACATATTTTGCAAATTTATTCAAATTGTTATATTTCCACGTGTTGTTATTGAAACTTTATGTTAAATTGACTGTTTGCTAATACGGAAAGAAAATCTGAACAGTTTTAGCTTCAACTTATCAACTGGCTTTTGTTAATAATCTAGATTTGTAATGCTAAATAAGCAACTGTTTATAAAGTCATAAAGTTCAAAATTAAAGTAACTTCTAAGAGAGATGGATGCTAAATGCTGAATTACGGTGTGTTGTCTGAAATTAATAGGCACAATTTGTGATAACTTTAGAATGTAATTAGGCTCGAAGAAAAATAACCCGAACAGAATAATGCGAAACCTGGTTATTCGTGCTATAATACAAATCCTTAGGGCCAATCAACGAAGTAGCAGTTATTGACTGCAGCAAAAATAGGAGCAACTGTTTCTTCAACTCTTTCTTGACCTGACTTTCTATCTCCAACATGTATCGTACCCAATCCATAAAGTTACCTTCCAAATGTAGTTCGAAAGCAATCCCTTTCTACTCGTCAGAACTTCTTATGTTTTCTCAACAGCACTTTCTCCAGAGATATCCGTAAATTTTCCTTACTTAAACCAAATCCTTTGATGGGTTGAATAATATAATCTTAAAGGCCTGATTGGTCGGCGTGCAAGATATCATCTGGTCATTATAATTTCCAGATAAAAGTTCATCTTCTTGTGATTCCTCCATATGTACGACTCACCAACCTCATTTGTAGAGAATTCTATGTGTTCTGAGTTTTCTCAGAAGTAAATTTACCGGGCACATTTTCATCAGGCTTTCGTAAATACCCTATCAAATCGATATTGTTCAAATGTGAATTCCTGCCTATAAAGTGTTCTCGTCCCATATTAGCCTCGTCTTTTTGACCATTCTGCTAACTTTATATGTCAGATATTTTGCTATTTTTGAATCCTTATTCACCAAAATAGTAACACCTTGTTAAATTCTCGTTCGTATTTTAGTATTTTGGACATCCTTCACCAGGCTTAATCCCATCTTTCAAGTTTAGCATGACGACGCAGAAGCATACTGTTTTTCATAAAAATTGTACCGTCATTTTGAGTGTGTGTACAAAGCACCACAAACAAACAACAGAAATAATGCAACACTCTACAAGGGAAGACTGTATTGCTGTTAAGGTAATATATCCAGAAACTGATGGACGGTAATGATAAATCACGAAAGATCAATAGAAATTTACAAAGCTGTAAAAAGAAAATTTCCAATTTTCTGCAATGTTTCTTGAAAGAGCTAATAATGACAGTCATTAATTTGTTCGGTGGCTAGAAATATGTGAGCATTATCGGCAACACTCCTCTTTTGAGTTCAAGGTAAACAATTTGCTTCCTCACTATACTCCCAAAATTTTCCATTCAAGAAAGCAGTCAATACCTGAACAGTTATTTGATCCTTGGATTTCACGGCAGATATACCTTGAGTGACTTTATCATTTTCATTTCGAGTGTAAATTTTGCAACATTAAAAAAGACTGAAGGAAATGGTAAGAACTCTTTTCTGTGAAACAGGAAAATAGGTTCATTATGTAGGGCACAGTACTCTGCAAAAAGTAACCTTGCCAGTGAATTGCTCAGATTTCGATTGTTGCTCATCACGATGCCTTCCTTTTTTCTTCTGTCGCCGCCCCATTATCTCTGTAAAATCAGCTTTTGCTTCTTCGTAGCCCATTCCATGATCGTTTCCCTAAAATCTCCTTCAAACAGCAGCCAAATTCGACCTATAGCTGTGCAGAAAAAAAAGTCAATCGGGGGGTCAATCTATGCAGTGTACACCTCCTCTTGCTGTTAGCGCGAGGTTAGTACATAAAGGAACGCATAAATTGAACAATCTAAAAGGGAGTGAGACCATAGGAATAAGCATTAAGACTGAATGTGAAAAACTTCAAGAGGGCAACGGATAAGGAAGTGTGCATTCACTACATTAAATTCACTACAAATTCACGTCAAGTAAGATGAATAGTATGCATGACTTGTATCACGACGGTAATCGCAATCCATCTATTGTTTCATGTCCATAAACTCATTTCTAAAATCATGTCTAAAAATCCTAATCGTGCTCTATGTACAATTCATACGGTAGCTGTTCCTTTTTTTGCAATACCAACAAAAATTCAGTGACTGGATGTTATTTAAAACATATGTAACTAACCAAAGTTCCGAAATACGAATGAGACATACTTCAACAAAATCATGCTCTGACAAGAGACTGTCAGGATCTGATCGTCGACTTCTCTTTTTCTTCTTCTGTTCCTTACTTATTTCTTCAATTTTTCCTGCGCTTGCATGAACTTCATTCTGTCCATTTTCGTTTGCTATCTAAATGTGAAATGAAGATTGCTTAACGTTTGTAGAATCGCTTGAATATTCCACCTTTCAAAACATGGAAAAAAATTCTGGTAACGTGGACGTACTGTATTCAAGGTCAGCAGTGAAAAGAATCGCTTCTCAAAAAACATGAAAACATGCCCCAAATTACTAATTGTATTGCACCAATTCTCGTAACCAATTTCATCGAGATTTTCGAAGATGGTTTTATTTTGCAGTGAGGAATGGTCAAAAAACTTCTATCGCAATTAAAGTGTTCCCAACCCAAATTTATCGTTTATGTTTAATAATACAAGAGTGAACCATTAAAAAGGATTTAACGACAGTGATAAAAAAACAAGGAAGCAACAAAATAAACCTGCCTAACTGTACAGTTTCTTTCTCTTTTACCGATACCTTTCCCTCCAGAAACTCATGAGCAGTACCCACTTTAATGCTACCAATCATGTCCGAATCCACTAAGGAATATTGTTCGATCTCCTAACTGCAGTCATCAAATTCTCGATTTTACACTACTAGTTGCTTTGAAAATTAAAGATAAACGTTAAATAAAGAAATTCTTCCTTTTCTAATCTAATTTCATGCATAAACCTAATGATAAAGACCTAGTCTGGAAATCGGAATGTTCATTATAACCATTTTTTTAATGGAATTTTTTTAAATAACTTTCTCTAAAGATAAAGGTAGAAGTTCAATTCCACTGTTAGTTTTACATAGTAAGTCATTAGGGATTTTTCCAATTATCACGATGTATTTCAGGTAATGGCAGTGACACCATTGATAAACATTGCGTTTGTAATTAGAGCGATCAAAAAGTATCAGTAATACTGGTGAAGTCCAGAACAAATAACCCACCACAGTTAGCAAAATGAAACAGCACACCTGTGAATGTGACGACTAAGCTTTTATAGTGAAATAAAAAAGAACTGATGTACTTTAGAAAAAGGATGCAATAATGTTAGAACAACTGGTTTCTATGGCTCAATCATCCGAACTGTAACCAAAAGTTGCATTTTGTCACCCTTTGTTTTCTTAACGATTTCTCCGACTCATCTCTTTTTCTGACGGTTTCTTGCCAGTTTTATCTGTGTCAGTAGTTCGCTAAAAGTCTGCTAGTTAATGCTAATTATACAAATTGATTCAAGAGAATAAGATTATTTAAAGTCTCTTTTCTATTACAATAAGTGTAACAAAAACTAATGAAGAGCATACCCAGTATGCTCTTCATTAGTTGTTTTTATGAGATATATGCTTCTGCTATCCATTTTCTGCCGCATAAGCAAAAACATTTTTAACGAATTTTTTCTACTCATACGCCACTTTTATCCAATTTTTAGACTTCCATGGAATTATAGTGAGCGGATTAGTAATATAAAGGGATTTTTGGTTAGCTCAGCAATGCTTAAAACATCAGAAATTCCTTCCTTATGAGAAATGGAGAATATCAAAGAACATCCCGGAGAATGGTTTCACTCCAAATTCCGACTTTCCTTTTCTTAAATCTATAAACGTTCTGAATGATGGAAGAGACTGGTTAAGAGGGCCCCTCATCCTTAGGTGACACGAAAGGTTGAATACTACCTTTTTTGACTGCACCAATTCTTTTTGTTCACGCTTTATTGGAGATGATGGCTTCTTTCTCTTCCCTTCTTCGGTTGACACTGATCTCTCTTCTTTCAGATACTGATACTTTGGTTTTGACCCATTTCCCAACTTCGGAACCTTTATCACCTTCGATTCGTCCACGTTTTTTGCAGCTACCTCTCGCTGTGTCACATTTATTGTTCGCTGCTCTTGTCCATTCTAAGAAAGAATTTGAAAGTATTTATTAATGGAATAATAAGCAAACTGCTTTTGTATCGATGGTAACCAAATATTGTGACAACCTACGAACAACCATTAAACATCTTACTTTCGCTGTTGCTTTTATCATCGAATTTTTAGTTTTAATCATTTTTGCGACAGTTTTCGGCTCATCCGATGCCTTTTTCGGTGAACCATTGCTGGATGCTTCCTTCAGCTTCTGAAAAAATAGGAACGCAATGATATAGTAGAACTACAATGAGTAACGAGCTCCAGCTAGACTTATTAAAACCGGCTTTTTCGTAATTAATATTTCAAGTCACACACATGAATCTTCTTAGCTTGCATACGCTAAGTAATTTTTATCGCCATTAAATTATATTAGTCATTCCTTGATTGCTATAATATTGGACTATTAGATTTTAATAATTGGCTGTGTGAAGCAGCAATCCATCTTAATGCAATTGTGCTTTCAAAGAACAGTTGGAAAGTAATTGCACGCGATCTAAAGATTTTACCAAGTAGAAGACCATTTTAATAGAAAAATTATCATGCACATTTCCTTATCCAACTAAATATTTTAGGTATTAATGGTGTATGTGATGGAATTGCTTAATTTCATCTTTAACAACGAAAGCTTATGAGAAATGAAGAAGAACATGCTTTCTGAAATAAAATTGTGGTGGATTAAATTCATGAAAATGTCATCGTCAGCCTTTCCTTTAATACGATTACTTGAAAAACAGCATCTCTTAATACTTTTAATCAACATCATCTTCAATTCCATTAACTATTTTCCAGACAATGAAATACATAAAAACGAGTCAACGTCAACTTCACACTACATTGTGCTGGATACTTTCTAGAAAAAAGAATAAAGAGTAAACTTCACTTTTTCTTTTCTAATCTCTGGAAGTGTTGAAGTTGATGCTTTCTGTTTTGCTAGTTTCTTCTCCAGACGTCTTTGCTCTCTTTCTGCCAGTTCCTCGGGAGATCGCTGCAATCCAGAAAATGTGTCTGCACAGTATAATGGTTAAGATTAATACCACCGTAATCTGATACTGTTTTAGCATCACCTGATGCTATACGTATGAGTCTCACATTTTCAAGTCTGAATAAGAACACAAACAAAAAAAATGGAAATTCTCGAACATCCTGAAAAGTCAAGTGAAACCCACTATAGCAAAATACATCATTATTGATCAATGGGTAATATCGATATTGTTGGTAATATATCACATGCTTTAAACAATGTTTACAAAAGGTTTAAGCATATATATATATATATGAAGGTTAAGTGTACCTGCTTCATCTCCTTGATTTTTCGATAAGTTGGTGGTGGTGGAGCAAGTGTATTGCTGTAAATGCTGTAGTATCAGTTCGATGACTTATTCAATAAATTCTGTTTTGTATTATTTTGAAAACACGAACAAAGAGTCTGTGTAATCTGGGAAAAAAACAGACATGGACTGAATTATCACTGATAAATTATGCAACAAGGATAACTTTTCAAGCTGCAGTAGATAATACTGCTATCGTTTCTTTAAAATCCTGATAAAAATGGTCAAAAAATATTCCCATCTTCCAAAAAACAAGTTCTGCTCTCAACTGCTTAACTGTTTCATGAACAAAGATTACTGTGAATCCAAGTCCCAATATCAGTTTGTTATTTTCTACAAATCATGAATATATGGAGCCAAGCAACACTGAAGAAAACTCTTACCTGCACAAAATCACAACGCAAAAATAAAAAAATATTACCAGGAATGCTGATGCTCCGTCAAAATTGTATTGTTTTGCCTAAAATATGAGTATAAAATGGTTTATTCTCAGCTGCGTAAAATGCTGGAAAATCACTTTGACATAACAATTTCGTAAATCTAATATGAACTTCCATCGTATTAAATAGAACTGCTGAGCAACTTGATTTAGAACTTAAAATCTCGAGGCATAAAATCTCTTAAAAAAGAAGAATTTTCATTATTAAACTTGGCAAGATATTTCTGTTTTATTATAACTAACCATGCTTTTCTAGCTTCCAGACGTCTCCGATATGTCTTCCATTTTCCCGCAGCAGCATTTTTCAGACAGCGTACTTTACCAATACGACGTACTCGTTTTTGTGAACGCATTTTGACTTGTTGAAATTTGTTGCTAACTACTTCTTTTATTCAGCGCCGCAATCGTTCTCTAACATCATTTACTTTAAATACTTTGCAAACACCTTACACAACTATAATGAATAACTCGTCGAAGCTGTTAACGCATGTGCACATCCAAATATTCCACTAATGATTTTAGGCTTTGGGTTGGTTTTTATCCTAGCGGTCCTAATTTCGAAGACTCGCATAATCAACGCAACAATGAACAGGAATCCTAGACCTTTTAACAGATATGTACAGCCAAATTTAAGAAGTCAAACACCCTCTACATGTCCCCTTTCGTATCATAACCTTTTTTATGCTTTCAAAAACAAAAGCAGGACTGACTCATCCTTGATCTATGTTATTTGAAACTTGGTTGAGGTTTAGAACCGTCGAATAATAAATGCATTTAAGATACAATGAATAATAATATCAATATGGAGAACGTTGTCATCCGAGCACTCATTTACATGAAGCAAATAAAAGTGAAATTCAAAAAATCAATAAGAGTTACATTACTATAATGTACAGAATTTAGGGAATAGTTCGGTAAGAAAAAATTTGATGACCCACTCATAGCATAAATAGTGTCGAGCAGATATATAGAAAACCCAAAATTCAGTGAAGCGGTGAAAAAATAAAACAGGATTTTGGTATTTCATTAAAAGTGAACGTAAAAGAGGCCTCGTATAACAGAGTCAGCAAAAAAGAAAACGAAAACCGTTTCACGACAATTGTTTAGTATCATATATAAATATAGTGATGAATAGCTTAAGGAGTAAGAAAGAGATTGGGTGAATATACTTGTACTCAAAGACCTTTTAAAATTATACAGTAAAATTCTATTCACCTATTCGTTTCTAACGGTTAACGGTTACATTCGGAAGTTCATCGTAATAAAGGAATGGCAAGTGCAACAGCGCACTTAATGGATACAATCATCTCAAGAGAACAAAGATAGTGCTGACGAAAAATGTTTTTGTTGAGAATATGAATCAGGATACTACTCAGGATACACAAAAAATGCGGGCCAAAAGCAAACAAGAACTGTTTGACAGTCTTCAGAGGATATGATTCCTGAAATACACATTTTTAACTCGGAAAAAGATTTCCTACAAAAAGTATCTTACTTTTGCTAGGGGAGTAAGTGCTCATGAAAACACACCCTTACAATTTTTTTCCGTTGTATTTCAAATTTGATTTCTCAATTCCTTTTTTTGCCAGTTCTCTTTTAAGAAATACATTCATCCCACTTGTATGAAAGCGAACAATTTCAGAACTACTTTGGTATATCGAAAACATTTCTCAAAACACCATCTGACATCACTTATCATCATATATGGGAGGAGAAATTGAAATACATTAACTTCGGTGTTTTATTTTTTGCGAACTTAAAAAATATATCATTGGTATTGCAACAATTTTACAGCGGTTTTTTCAGGACTTATATTCAAGAAATGATAAAAAATAACTTACAGCATCGTCCATAAAGTAATTTGCCATAAGAACACTGGCACTGTGATATCCCTTT